TATAGTACTCCTCACCACTCCAACAGCTTTGCTATTGTTCATTTTCTTTACCTTTCTTACAAATAAGCAGAGGCCCAATCAGCCCAGAGTTGAAGTCCTGTATCAGATTTTCATAGGAGTAGTAGATGTACGTGAGGCATGGCGGGTCATCCTGTGTGGGCCCACTGTCCTCACTGATGGTCCACTCGTAGGTATATTCGTGGCCGGGAGCTACAGCATCATCCAGCTTCTCGGCAGGGAACGTGTGGTCAGCGTAGGAGGCACCTGGAGAAGCAAAGGTCATGAAAACACTTGGGCAGCGCGTGAGGCTCGCCGTCCATCACTCTCAAGCTGGAGCAACATGAGGCCTCTATAGAGGTCGCTGTGCCTTTCCACAGCGAGCCTCCGTTGTTTGAAAAGATTCACATTGCATCCACTTCCATGTCTAGGTAATTACTAAGGCTTTGAGTCCATGTGTTCTGACGTGAATAAGAAAGGTTACAAGTACATTATTTAAGGTGTAGGAAGTTAATTTTCCAGGGTCTCTAAATAATTATTATTCAAATGTAATCAGAGAATTGAATCATCTCTGATCAGGGAATCATTTCACAACATGAGAATGGATTATATCTTTTCTGTGGTGCTTGACGAGACATCTACCTCCTGTTCATTTCACAACATGAGAATGGATTATATCTTTTTTGTGGTGCTTGACGAGACGTCTTCCATTTAACCTCCTGGTAGCATGGGAGGTAGCTATATGCCGAGCTGTTTATATATTGTTGTTGTTTTATCTTTAAGTTTTTCTTTTCTTCTTTCCAACTGCTGCCACCCTCAGCCCTTATCTCTTTGTCACATCTCCACCATCTGGTTATCCTAAGTCCTTCCCCAGAGTCTTAGAGTCTGGCTCCCATGGGCAGTCTAGTTGTCCTTAGAGTATGAAATGTGTCTACCCTCTGAAATGTAGATGTCTTGCTTTGGCCCTTTGTGTACCCAAACGCCCGCCATTAACACCTTGGTGCCTACTCATTTTTCTCTGCTGGTGGGAGAGGGGGAGGATGTAGAAATTGGTCTTCCTTATTGAAGAGAGGGAATTGAGATTCTGAAGATTAAAAGAATTGCAGAGGGTTGGTGTGGCTTTCAACCACAGAAGGAAGATGGGGCTAGAGAAGGAGAGAGTGAGGTCAGGAAAGGGAGAGGTCAGGGTCATAGATGCCAAGTGGGCTGGGCAGCTTCCCCTGTTTGAGGCATTCCTCATTTGATTGGGTGAAAGTTGCACTATGACCAACTGGTATCAGAATTTCCCTGTGGGGTACAGTTATCTTTGGTACAAGAGCTTGATAAATTCCTTGAGGTGGAAGGTGAGACCTTCAGAGTGTAGATGTGGGCAGATAATTGGGTAAAAACAACAACAACCCTAAAATGTTTTCTATGATGGGGTAAAGGGCCAGTGGAAACTACTCTTACTGAAGTGACTGTGCTCTTTGAAAACAAAAATGCTTTATTGTTTTTCCTACCCTTTCCCTGTTTATTTTCTTCTCCTCTTTATTCCTCCCTGCCTTTCACCATCTTTCTTGAGTTATAAACTATATACAATAAAAGGCACCAATTTTAAGTATATCTGTTGAGGTTTGACAAATGTGTTCTGTCCTATAGACAATCAGGGTACAAGACATCTCTACATCAAAACTTCTGCCTCCTGCGCCATTCCTGGCCAATGCTGTCCCCACCCTCTGGGCCCAGAGAACCACTGATTTGCTTTCTGTCACTGTATTGTTTTCCAAAAATGTAATAAAAATGGAATAATACATTATGTATACCCCCCTGTGCTTGATTGGTGTTAGTATGGTATATCTTTTCTATCCTGTATTGTTTTACCTATCTTGTCTTTAATTTAACGTGGATTGCTTGAGTGCAGCATACAATTGGGTGTTGCTTTTTATCCAGCCTTACAATCTGTCTCTTAGTTGTATTGTTCTTCCCATTTGTTTTTAATATGATTATCTATATGCTTGGGTATTTGTCCATCTGGTCTTTGTTCCTTCTCTTCTTTCTTGATTTTTCTTGGGTTGAATATTTTTTTATTTCTCACCCAAGGATATGTTTTTATTGATTTAACAGAGAGAGGAAGGGAGGGAAAAAGAGGGA